CTTTCATTCAGCAGTGTTATGCTCATTGATATATCTCCAGCACCTAGAACAGTGCCTAGAACATGACAGGAGCTCAATGTTTGAGAGCTGGATGACCAACTGATAATAGACTGCTATCAGAACACAGATCTTATTTAATACATTATTTTGCAATTTTTGTTTTCTATAAACACTTACCTCTTGAGACCCATCCCCCTATCCTCAATCCTCCCCAACTCTTCCTCCTCTTCATTCTGTTACTCCGGGGCCTTAAGATGGGCTCTTTCCTCCTTCCAAGTACTTTAAAAATTTATAATAGAGTACTATTAGAGTCCAAGAAACTTATAATACTCAAAGAATGAATCATTGCTGGTGAAATTTTAGAAGCCATTGTTCGTTGATAGGGAACTATTTTTAGTTCCTTTGCCTCCTTGATCTAGAATACAATTGCTCAATTGCTCATAGGCTCATGAAGTTCAAGACCTAACTGTCTTATCTCCAGTGCTTGGCAAAGCGATTTCAGCATACAACGAGCACACATAAATGCATGTCATATGAATAGGGGCTTCTCTTACCTACTCATGGAATCGTTTGAAAGTAATGCAAATCCATAATGATCACATAAGAACATTAGAATCTTGCCTTAGGTCTTGGCAGATCCCCTCACCCCTCTCAGAATCAGGCCAGGGCCCAGTTCTTAGGCCCTGTCTTCTAGGACTTGGACCTTGGTAGAGCCATTGGGGACCCATGTTACAGTCAAGAGCTGTCAACAACAGGCACTAAATCTTGGTGTCTTCTTTGAAAAGAGGAAGAGAAATCCCATCACTATAGACAAAAATCTTTGGATCAGAGAATTTAAAAATTGGTCTTTGGGAGTTATCTGATCAATCCTTCCATTTTGATTAAATTACTAGCCCCCAATAACTCAGTAGTGGAGCTGGGAATAGAACTCAGGACTGACACACATTGCCTTGTTGTGAGGAAAGAAAAAGAGATGGAATATGGAAGGTAATTTTCTCCTACTCAGTCATCATGTATGAAGACTCAGGGAACAAATGTAAGACTATGTAAATAGATATGCATGCCATTATTTATTTCATACACATTATATATATATATAATTTATCAAATTTCAACTTAATATAGTTGGAAAATAGAAAAATATGTTTAAGTTTCTGATCTCAAAATTCTTACCCCCCAAATAAATTTTTATTCACCATATAGCAAATGTTTATACTGAGTTAATATTCTGGGTGCTTTTTCACTCCAGTCAACAGTATTTTTTAATGAGTGCTGTGTTATACATTATAATATATAGATTGGCACACATTTATTTTTGGGACTGCTACAGGACAATCTAGAACAGATTTCAGGAAGACAAAATATTATTGGCAAATACCTTTCCTTTCCTCATTCCTCCCTCTCCTCTCCTTTCTTCTGTTCTATGCTCCAGATTTGCTCTTCCCCCAAACATCTCTTCAGAGACACAGGGAATGCAGCTTCCCTGAGAAATGTGTCGGCACTGCTCAGCACTGATTTTTAGCTACATACAAAATTCAATCTCTTTAAGACCACCTTGGATAATAAAAACATTAACTTTAAACAGTTACTATACATTTTTTTCCTTAGAAAACTAAACATTTTTTAAAGCTTTGGAACATAAATGGTTTGAAAAAGTCAACTCCTTGTGTTTACAGTTCTTAAATCATTTATTTTTTCTGGGATGTGGAGGTGGGGGTGATAGTATCGATTCCCTGCCTGGTAATTTTTAGAATTTTGAGTGTGTCATTCTGTGTGTGTGTGTGTGTGTGTGTGTGTGTGTGTGTGTTTCTCCCTTTGGAAAAACAAAAGGTGGATTTTCCTACGCACCATGGAAAAAATGTAACATAGAACTCAATCCCTTCCTGAGAGCACAGAGAACCCAAAGCATGTGGCTTAGATCAGGGTGGTCAGGAAGTTTTGTCATTTCCAAAAGGAAGCATGAGTCATAGTGTGCAACATTTTGGGAGACCTGAATCAGAGCTGTCGAGGAAGTCAGTTCTCAGACAGTTTAACTTATAATCACAATGTAATTTAATTAAATACCTTCAATATCTTGTCTTTCTTTAAGATGGCTACAAACATGGATTTTCCAATTATTTCCCTTCAGGAACAGAGTAATTTAACAGTTGAAGAAGTCCCCTAATCTACTTCTGAGGCAATCAGGCCTGGAGATTATAATTAATATATATCTTTTAGAAAGGAGAAAAGAGAGTGGGTAAGACAGGGAGGGAGGATATTGCTCTAAAATCTATTAATACATGAAGCACAATAAAGTTAAATTATATTGTTAAAAAGGGGTGAGGGGGGATGTAGATAAGGGTAAGGAGGGGTCAAATATTTGGTGCCGGAAGGAAATTTAATTTTGAGTGGTGAGTACACAATGCAATATACAGATGACATATTATTGAATTGTACACTTGAAACATTTGATTTTATTAACCAATGCCACCTCAATAATTTTAATAAAAAATTATATTGGTAGAAAAATTAAATTATTACGGACAGCTAAACATTTTAACAAACGTCTTTTTCCATTTTGAGGCCAAAATATACTTGAGAAAAAATCTTTCCACACACTCAAATTTCTCATTGCTATGAGATTCTGTCCCCTTTTGCAAAGGCTCAATACCCAGAAAGGTACCAAAGTGCTAAGGAACACTTCATATAATCATCAGTCAGAAGAAGATGGTCATAGGTGGGGTTCAGAGAGTGAGAGGAAATGTTGTTCTTTGGGACTGGGAGAGTGGTGGCACTGGGTTGGGGTGGGAGCAAGCAGGGGAAGATGTAGACAGATAGCAAAATGAGATGCCTTTCCAAGATTGGTTTTGAGCCATTACTAAGATGTTTGGGGTAAATAAATTAGAAAAGTTTTTAAATTAGACATAGAGAGCATAAAAAAATCTCGATATGTTATGGTTTCATAGGCCTCATGATTCAGAGGCCTAATGATATTAATTATAACATGATCTAGTAATCAAATAGATTTAGAGGGAATTCAGATAGATAACTTTGGATTCTGTCCTGCTCTCAATCTCCACCATTATCTCCTTGAGGCTTGAGAGCTGAGAAAGATGTTACTAATTTAGCATGATAGTTTCCTGTGGTTGGTTTCACTCTTTGACAACCACTTAGGGGAAGCTAGCTGCTGTTAGGCCTGGGAAGTTTTGTTTGGGACAGTTACAGCCCTTGGCAACTCTAGAAACGTGTATAGATGGGAAAAGAAGAAAGAGGAGCATGTGTTACACAATCTAGAAATTTAGGAGATAAGCATGCATAAATACATATTCTCTCTCTCTCTCTCTCTCTCTCTCTCTCTCTCACTCACACACACACACACACACACACACACACAATGAGATAATAGGCTCTGAGATCCATTTGGGATATCAAAGGATGGCAAGAACTCTAGACTTGATAGCAACAGAAAACTTGTCTTCTTGACCTTCTATATGTAGGTGTTAAAGAGACATTATTAATTTAAGGACTTTATAAAAGTCCTATAAAAATCCCTCTGATTCGGTTTTAAACTAGGCTAAGACCTGTTCCCTGGGTTTTTAGGGTGACATTTTACCCCATAAAACTTCCTAGAATTCACAGAAAGCATAATGGGATACAGACAAAATGGAAAACCACTGAATATATGGTTAAAAGATCTAGTTTCAACTCTTCAGTTTGTCCTTGAAATCTGTGAGCTGGAAACTCTGGGCTTCAGTGTTGTGATTCCTAGAAGTATGGATCAGAATGGCAGGGTTGCAGTGTTGGGGCCCTTCTCTTTCTATGCTATTCTTTTTTTCTTGGTCCATAAAATAATATTTCTCAAGTCTGTCCCCTACCCCCTTCTCTTCCACCACTGCTATAGTTCAGACCTTTTTTCTGTTGCATCTGAAGTGTTTTCAGGAGTCTCTTACCTGACAGCTCCCACCTCGATCGTTTGCTCTTGCTGTTTCCACTTCCTGGCATACTTTTACCCTAAATGCCCACATGGCTTGCTGCTTCCCCATGCCTGTTCAAATGTCAGCTCCTAAGACAGGACTTCCTCAACTGCCCTGTGTAAAATAGTCCATCCCTTCGTACACAATCTTC